TGTCTCAGAAGAGAGAGATATAGAGAGAGAGAGAGAGAGAGAGAGAGAGAGAGAGATTCTTACTTAATGATATTTTGAGTAGTCACGCACTTTATACACTCTTTTTTTTAAAAATCAAACGTTGAGAAAAGACTTATAAACTTATTGCATTCAGCCACATAATGGCATCACATTCTCTCATAATTTTTTTTCCCAATCAAATTCTCTACTTACCGACAAAGAAGTCTCCCATTCCGCAGGCAGCAGCAACTGTTGTTGAGAAATATAGACCATTGAAAAAGTTCCAATCCTCCGTGTATAAGAAAACGAATGTTGGAACAAAATAGTAAAGAAAGCTCCAGGAGGCAAAAAATATGCAGTTTGAAAAGTACTTGCTGTACGGTACTTTGTCTCTCAAAAGGTACACCATCTCATTCTGAGATTCAGCGTAATACTGTCCAAGGACTTTGTTGAACAACATCGCTAATGGTATTCCGAATAAAACATACACTGAGCAGAACATTTGACTCGTTATACTAAATGGTGTATAACCAGTGTAACCTTTGAAATGAAATTATAATTATTTTTTTAAAAAAAGAACAATTACGATCCTTTTTTTTAGAATACAAGATATTTCACACTAACCTCCGTTAATATATACATTTTAAGAATCCTTGTCAAGAACAGAGTTTATTAGGCCTGTTCTGCTACACAATCTTCAGAGATTCAACGTCATTTGTAAAACGAAATCATACAGAAAATTTAATTGTAAAAATTTGAAAATCTGAGATGATAAAGTAATCTACTAGTGTAATAATAATCTGTAGCATTTGCTGTGGTACAACATGGTTTTTTGCTACCTGTGTCAACAATGCAACGTTGTACTGGGTCAACGGCGGTAATCATAAGTGAGAGAAAAACAAAAACACTGTCAAAATCTGCTGAATCAGTTTCAAGAAAGGTGGGTGTATAAAACATTAAAACTCGTTTGATTGTTGAATGTTTGAAACACCTTTAAATTTTAATCGGCAATCAAACTGCTTTCGATATTTTTGACCCCCCGCTTATCAATACCGATTCACTAGTTTGCGGTGGTGTTTCTGAATTTGTAAACCTAAAAAGGTTAGATAAGCGGTTTACGTGTAAACCTTCTAACCTTAAAACGAGATCTGTGAGAATCAGCTCTATTCTACGTACATTACCCTAAACCAAAACCGTGGAAAACAACCTTCTATATAAAAACCTTAAATCGAGGATGACTTAGAGTTTTGAAGCTTTAAAAAATCCTTTAACAAAGCTAGCCTGAAGGTAAAAATAATCTTAACGCTAGGTAATTGTCAGTTTCTTTTTTCCACAACGTTTTGTATGCTCAGCTAAAATTCACCTTGTCATGAAATTTCAATGGACAAAGCAATCTTATCGCTAGTGGGACTTCAGTTAAAACGTCATTATGGACTTAAGTGACCATTTTGACAATCCTTTTAAGATGAAAGGTTTGAAACTACAATATTTTTGCTTTATTGAAAAAAGGTTTTTAGCGCAAACATTTTCAACGCAAGGTTGCCATAAGGTTACAGGCTTTCTGGGTAGCTTAATTAAAGGATTTTTTCCCGCTTGAAAACTCTAAGTCAAGCTCTATTTAAGGTTTTTATATAGAAGGTTGTTTTCCAAGGTTTTGGATTAGGGAAACGTATGTAGAATGCAGCATATTTTCACAGATCTTGTTTTAAGGTTAGAAGGTTTACACGAAAACCGCATAGCAAACCTTTTTTAGGTTTACATTAAAGGGCTTTTGCTGAGTTAAAATAAACCTTATTTTGCTATCTGGGATATCACTTAAATGTTTTCAATCACATTTTATTTCCTTGGACTCAGGAAAACAAATTTTATCACGAGGATCTTAAATCTCATTAAATTTACAGAAATAGTTTCGTTTCTTTCCTATTGATTCGCGTCTGCTGTAAAAAATTCAGTTTCGTTAAAAATTGGCACATAAGAATAGTTAAATCCTTTTAAACATTGTTCTCAGTTGTTGCAGTTTTGTTATAAGCCTCACTCACGAGATGAAAAATTTAATAATTGGTTGCAAATTAATTCAGAAATAGTTCTTCACAGTTTGTGTGAAGTACAGTTTAAATAGCTTGAACCTCAACCTGTTTAAGGGTGGTCGAAGTTGGTGCGTTGCATCTAAATCGTATTGGTACGATTTAGGAATGCACATGAGATACGATTTAGGCAACTACGTAATGTTATAAACAAAGTATTGTAACAAGCCTCAAATAAACCAGCTAGCAAAGAAACAAGTTAGACATAACAGAATTATTATATGTTGTTTTAAATAATTTGTACATTACTTTAGTTCTGCTAAATCCTTTAACAGGACGGTCAAAAGTTACATTGAAGATCTGTAAACCCGATTTTAACTTAAATAAAAACTTAAAACGAGTTCACAGTGTGCCCTTTAATCGAAAATAGAATTTATGAAAACTTACCATTTTTCTCTTTGCCTGTTGCCAATACATGTTAGATTTTTTTAAATCGTTATCACCATTTTATTGCTAATAGTTAATAGCTTATAATTATATTTTGACAGCTCTCACATGGTAAATTCTGGGTCTCACATGGCAGATATAGTAAATTTTATTCATTTTCAAATACTTATAAGGGTCCGCTGGCCAATTTATAAACTTTAATTAAATTTTTTTCCATGAATTTTTCATATATTTTATTGTAAACATCACTCTAAATGTTTAACTTCACCTGCTAGTTAATAGTCGGAATAATCACAACTATTATACAAGTGAAAAGTTTTAATTCTTGAGGTAAATTTGTAACTTTTGTATTTTTGCCAGATTACCTCCGGGCTGTTGCCAAAATAGTACTATGTTTTTTCTTGTTTTTAAATAAATTCCACTTACTGATCTAAACAAGGTAGCATGTACAAAAATAAGAAAGAGAAAATAATGAAATAGAATAAAAATTCTGTCAGCTACGTTTTTAAAGTTGTCTAAAAGGCAAAAAACAATTTTATTTTTGTCAGACTTCACTTTCAAAATAAAAAAATAAGCTTAAAAGTAATTCCCAGCAATGATCGAAATTTTTTGCGAAAAGTAATGTGCCTATCGTCTCCCGTTTTAGAACAGCTAAAATAAAATTATTTTCTTCTTTTTAGTTAACTTAAAAATCATAGTTCTTAAAATAATTGTGGCATTATCTTGAGAATAAATAAATGACAAAGCTGTAGTTTTCGTCTCTCTTGAAATTTTACCTGCAAATAAAATAACGAGAACTTACAAGTTATAACTTTTATATACTATCTGTACTTACCTATGGTAGCTACCATGTTATAACAGAAGAAAAAAGTATTAAAGAAGGTCCACCATATATTGACTTCAAACAACGGTAGCGAGGCGAAAACGAAAGCAGACTTTGGATAAAACTCTGAGATTGCTTTTTTTATTTCAGCCTCTGTGTAATTGCTTGCTAACAACATTTTCTTCATTTCTTCGAAAGAAAAAAAAATATTTATATTAAAAACTGCCTTCTCAGGAAAAGTCAAATGGCAACAAAATTTGTTTCAGTTCATGGAATAGATAATTTTAAAAAAATTTCTCGTCAATACAGAAATTTAAACACCCTTACAAAACTTTGAGGTGTTTTTGAGGTTTATTTGAGGTTGTTTTTGGGTATTAATGTTTGTTTGAGGTTCATTTGAAGTTGATTTCAAAAACAACCTTAAAAAATCAACTTTTCATGAAGTATAATCAAGGTGCATGAAGCTGTTCTATTGGTATTTGAGGTAGTTTAGAGGTTGATGGAAATCTGCAGTAGAGCAACCAGCCTAGAGGAAAGTTGTTTTTTAGGTGTACTGGTTATTTTCTACACTTTTAGCAAATAAGTATATTTGAGGTGTGAATAATTTCACTCCATCTCACCTAAAAGTATCTCTGAGCTGTGTATTAGGTTGATTTTGTAAGGTGTAAATGACGTTGAAATTGAGGTTTATTAATGAGGTTTTCTCCTCATTTTCTATCCCGGGTATGTTTTTTACATCTGCCAACCTCAAAAACACCTTATTTCTCAAAAACACCTTATTATAACCGGCCAGCTCTTAGCGTCATATTTATAGGACAGTTACTTTACTAACAAAAAAATGCATGCAAAAAACTGAACTTACCAGCAAGTGCAGTGATTATTTGATAGTTGATAACTTAAAATTTGAAACCGTGGGTAGCCTTACATATCTAGGCTCAATATAAACACTTCAAATACAATTGCAGAAGAAATTAATTGCAGAATCCTGAAACGGAATCAAAGCTATTTTTCATGTCAGCATCTGTTAAAAATTAAATTGTTTCCGAGAGCACTTATACTAAAAATTTACATAACGATCATCCATCCCGTGGTGACAATTGGCTACGAGACTTGGAGTTTGACACATTAAGATATAAATAATTTATTAATTTTTGAACGAAAAATACTTAGAAAAATTTAGGACCCAATACAGCTAACTGATAATTATTTTATTTTATATTATAACCGTCGTTGAACAGCCGACCCAAAATTTTTGGGCAAAGTATTGGGTGAAATTTGCCTTGGAGGGGGACTTTCTTGATGGAACTAACCCGCATTTACGTTACATGGAGATGAAAACCGAGAAAACCTCCCACGGTTAGCTTGATGGCAAGGAGACTCTAACCCATGATCCGACTACGATTGAGAATATTTAATGTCAGCACTGTGGTCGGTGCAAGGCGGAGGCGGAACTCGTTTCGACCAGCCTGCGTTGGGATTTGAACCCGTTTCATCTACTTGGAAAGCGAACGCTCAATCCCCTGAGCCACTACGACTCCATTGTGCATGATTATTTCTTAACCATCGTTGAGCAGCCGACCAGATTTTTTTGGGTTTATGACTGCTAATGTTCAACGAAATTTGTACAGATCTGCCATCGCTGGGATTCGAACCCGGTTCACTTCATTGGAAGGCAAACACTCTATCCTCTGACTCATCACGGCGCCGTGAATGATTGTTGGCAACAGTGGTCAAGGGAAGGTACTGCCTCAAGAAGACCGGGTTCTGGGCGGCCACGTGGCACTACTCAGAGGGAAGACCACTGTCTGCGACGTATGCCTTTGGCGCACCGTACTGCGTCTGCTTTTCAAATTCTAGCTGCAGTTAGCACTACATTGTCACAACGAACTGTATTTAAATCAGCTACTTCAAGTACAGCTCCGAATGAGATGCTCTGTAGCTTGCATTCCACTCACTCCAAACTACTGCCGTTTACGGCGTGAGTGGTGTTAGGTTAGAGGTCACTGGAGAACAGAGTGAAGATCTATTGTGTTTTCTGAAGAAAGATCGGTTCTGCCTTGGTGACAGTGATAGCCGTATATTGGCTAGAAGAGGCTAAGTAAGCGTCTGCTACCAACCTATCTCCGGCTTCGACTTGTTGGATTTACACCTAAAGTTATAGTCTGGGGAGCAATTTCCTATGGCAGCTATATTTCCTCGAATATCTTGACTGAAAATTTGTACTTCAACCTGGTGTTTCAACCTGTTTTGTTGCCAACATGACCAGCATTCAAGAAGGTATTTCCTAACAGGACAATGCCCGCCCTCATACTGCTGTTGTTATCCAATATGTTCTACAGAATTTTGACTTGTTGCTTTGACCTGCTAGATCACCAGGTTTTTTACCCGTCTTGAACGTATGGGACATTATTAAAACACAACTTCAGCGTCACCCACAAGCGTTATTGACTGATCAAGTGCAAAAGGCAAGGAATTCCATCCCAAAAAATGACATACGTTATCTGTATGATAAAATACTTGCCTGTTTTCATTCAAAATTCTGGTTGTTACACCGATTATTAATGTATCAGCATTTCACATTTGAAAAAGTTTTTTTTAATTCCATTACTCTATGATCTTGGAACATTAATAAATAAAATTTGTTACTCAGACAAACACATTGCCAAAATTCCATTATTTTACAAAAACTTTTTCTTCGTGGTGGGATTTTTTTCCCTTCAGTGTATTAATGAAATTGAAGGGAAGGCATACTAAATCTTCACTCTGTCCCAAATTATTTGCTCCATTTGAATACTTAATTATTGATACTAATGATTCTAGACATCCATTCCCCCTCCCTTCCTCAAATCAATGCCAAATTTATTTCAAAAATCCAGGCCCCATTTGAAAGAACTCTTTCACCAGTAATAGCATAAAACCGTCTTTTAATTCATTGATAGTATGCTTTTACTAGTGTCGATCTACTAAACCTCATCGGAAGTTATGTATGACTCCACCTACTTAAAATGTAGCACCTATTTTGGGGCAAAATTTTCAACCTAAAAGTAACAACTGATTGGGGGCGGGGAGTATTAATTAAGGAAAAAAAATATTAATATTCTTAAGAAGCAGTTTTTTTGTCTTGATTGGGTCAATAAGTACGCTGCTGTTCACCATTTAAAGAAGAGTCAATTACTGACCTGGGAAATGATGAGATGAATTACCAAATATTGAAACTGTTGTTTTCATTGCTTCAAAAGGATCTAAGGCAAATATAATAGCTCCGCCAATGAGCAAATAAATCATATAAANTGAAATTTTACCTGCAAATAAAATAACGAGAACTTACAAGTTATAACTTTTATATACTATGTGTACTTACCTATGGTAGCTACCATGTTATAACAGAAGAAAAAAGTATTAAAGAAGGTCCACCATATATTGACTTCAAACAGCGGTAGCGAGGCGAAGATGAAAGCAGACTTTGGATAAAACTCTGAAATAGCTTTTTTTATTTCTGCCTGTGTGTAATTGTTTGCTAACAACATTTTCTTCATTTCTTTGAAAGGAAAAAATATATATATATAAAAAAAACTGCCTTCTCAGGAAAAGTCAAACGGCAACAAAATTTGTTTCAGTTCATGGAATAGATAATTTTAAAAAAAATTATCGGCAATACACATCTAAACACCCTTACAAAACCTTGAGCTGTTTTTGAGGTTTATTTGAGGTTGTTTTGGGGTATTAATGCTTGCTTGAGGTTCCTTTGAAATTGAATTCAAAAACAACCTTAAAAAAATTAACCTTCCATGAAGTATAATTAAGGTGCATGAAGCTGTTTTATTCATATTTGAGACAGTTTAGAGGTTTATAGAATTCTGCAGTAGAGCAACCAGCTTAGGAAAGTTGTTTTTTAGGAGCACTGGTTATTTTTTCTGCACCTTTAGCAAATAAGTATATTTGAGGTGTGAATAATCTCACTCCATCTCAACTAGAAGTGTCTCTGAGCTATATATCAGGTTGATTTTATAAGGTGCAAATGAGGTTGAAATTGAGGTTTATTAAGGAGGTTTTCTCCTCTTTTTCTACCCCGGGTATGTTTTTTAGATCTGTCAACCTCAAAAGCACCTAATTTTCTTGTAAGGGCACGTGATAATCAACTTCATTATGAATAAGATTTGGGCTGGTTTAATTATTTGAAAAATGGTGACGAAAGTTTGACAAAAATCACAACAATAGTTCTTTTTTTTGTTGAAAAAAACCCCTATTTTTTCCTCAAAAATAAAAGAAACGTATTTGCAGGAAAAAAAATTAGACATAGTAACCGGCCAGCTCTTATGTCAACAGGAATTCGCAACATGCGTGACCTGTGGTAGACAACATCACTCCAGCGAATGCAATTCAAACACCCATCACTGCATCAACTGCTGGCACTCTAATACGTACTTTGGTACTTCACACAATCCCCATCACCCAGCTTATGCTGCAGATTGCCCAAGCTACAAGACTGCACTCTCCGCACTTCGATCAAATTCTCATCCATATTAACTTATCCTCCTGTGCGATTTTAGCACACAGAGCTCTGAATCGATTCAAAACTCTACGCCTCCACCCCGGCAGTTTCAGTGACTCCTACATTCTTATAGTCAGTGACTACTTCAAAACTTTAATTTATTCTTCTTGAATTTACAAACTTTCAGTTGAATTCACAATTCTCCATGAAAAATGCTCAAAACTCTCTTATTCACAAACTCTAGTTGAATTGATCCCCTTAAAGAGAAACTCTAAAAACTCCTTTTCTTTTCTTCTACAAGATTCAATTACCTTTTTTTCCCCCAAGTATTTCAAAATTCCTATTTTACAGCCTCTTAGAGAGCGTTTCATACCATGCATGTAGCAACTCTGATCTTTTTACGTTTCAATGTTCCTTATCCATTATGTTTTTAATTACTGTCATCTATTGTAACTTTCTTCAAAATTTTGTTTTTGTACACTTTCTTTATTCGTTTTTTTTAATTTCATCTTTTTTTTTAAACTGTTTTTTTTAAAATCTTTTTTTAACTTTTGATGCACCTATGTGTTATGTGAGCCAGACCTGTGACCAGACGTGGACTATACGGTTAAGGGTTTTGTAAACCTAGGTACGTGTCCACGTCTAGAAGAAAAGAAAAAGAAAAAAGTTGATTATAGTCTGTTGTTTACTAAATTTTATTATAAAAATTTTTATATGTATTATGCAATATGCAATTTTTCATAATAAATTCCCTTTGATCAGGCCAGTTCACCGGGTTGTGGCGAGCTGGACTGGTAGCCAGACGTGGACTATACGGGTAAGGGTTTTGCAAACCTAGGTACGTGTCCACATCTGGAGGAAAGGAAAAAGTTGATTATAGCTTAAAATTTGAAACCGTGTGTAACCTTACATATCTAGGCTCAATATAAGCACATCAAATACAATTGCAGAAGAAATTAATTGCAGAATCCTGAAACGGAATTAAAGCTATTTTTTCTTGTCAGCATCTGCTAAAAATTAAATTGTTTCCGGGAGCACTTATACTGAAAATGTACATAACGATCATCTATCCCATGGTTACATATGGCACTGAGACTTGGAGTTTGACACATTATGATTTATTAATTTTTGAACGAAAAACACTTGGAAAAATTTAGAGCCCAATACAGCGAGCTGATAATTATTTTATTTTATATTATAACCGTTGTTGAACAGCCGACCCAATTTATGTTTTTACGACTATGAATGTTCAACTCCGTAACCTTGTAATTTTAAACTCGATCCAGAAGACAAGAGAACTTCTGCACCAAGTATTGGGAGAAATTTGCCTTCGTGGAGGATTTTTTGATGGAACTAATCCGTATTTGCGTTACATTGAGAAGAAAACCAAGAAAATCACCCACGGTTAGCCTGATGGCAAGAGGACTCTAACCCATAATCGGTCTACCGTTGAGGATAGGTTACATCAGCACTGTGGTCGGGGCTAGCCGGATGCGGAATTTGTATCGATCAGCCATCGCTGGGATTCGAATCAGGTTCACTTCATTGGAAGGAGAACGCTCTATCTCCTGACCCATCATAGCTCTGTGAATGATTGTTGGCAGCAGTGGTCAAGAGAAGGTATTGCTTCCCGAAGACCGGGCTCTGCGCGGCCACGTGGCACTACTCAGATGGAAGATCACTATCTACGATGTATGCCTGTGGTGCACCGCATTGCGTCTGCTTTTCAAATTCGAGCTGTAGTTAGCACTACATTGACACAACGGACTGTATTTAAATCATCTACTTCAAGTACAGATCCAAATGAGATGCTCTGTATCTTGTATTCCACTCACTCCAAACTACTGCCGTTTACGGCGTGAGTGGTGTTGAGTTTGAGCTTACTGGAGGACAGAGTGAAGATCTATTATGCTTTCTGAAGAAAGTCGGTTCAGCCTCCGTGATAGTGATGGCCGTATATTGGTTAGAAGGAGGCCAAGTGAGCGTCTGTTACCAATATATCTCCGGCCTAGACACACTGGACTTAAAACTAAAGTTATAGTCTGGGGAGCAATTTCCTATGACAGCAGGAGCATTTTCGTGATTATTCCTCGAATATCTTGACTGCAAATTTGTACTTCAACCTGGTGTTTCAACCTGTTTTGTTGCCGGCATGACCAGCATTCAAGGAGGTATTTTCTAACAGGACAATGCCCGCCCTCATACTGCTGTTGTTATCCAATATGTTCTACAGAATTTTGACTTGTTGCATTGGCCTGCTAGATCACCAGGTTTTTTACCCGTCTTGAACGTATGGGACATTATTAAAACACAACTTCAGCTTCCCCCACAAGCGTTAATTGTCATCCACAAGCGTTATTGACTGATCAAGTGCAACAGGCAAAAGAATTCCATCCTAAAGATGACATACGGCATCTGTATGATACAATGCATTGCCTGTTTTCATTCAAAACTCTGGTTGTTACACCGGTTATTAATGTATCAGCATTTCATATTTGAAAATGTTTTTTTAATAAATAAAACATTTATTAACATTAATAAATAAAATTTGTCACTCAGACAAACGCATTGCCAAAATTTCATTACTTTGCAAAAATGTTTTCTTCATGGTGGGATTTTCCCCCCATAAGTGTATTAATGAAATAGAAGGGAAGGTATACTAAATCTTCACTCTTCCCCAAATTATTTGCTACATTTGAATACTTAATTATTGAAACTAATGATTCTAGACATCCATTCCCCCTCCCTTCCTCAAATCAATGCCAAATTTATTTCAAAAATCCAGACCCCATTTGAAAGGACTCTTTCACCAGTAATAGCATAAAACCGTCTTTTAATTCATTGATAGTATAATTTTACTAGTGTCAATCTACTAAACCTCATCGGAAGTTATTTATGACTCCACCTACTTAGGGGCCGTTCAAAAAGTACGTACATCCCGAAGGGGGGGGAGGGGATTTGCTATTATGTACGGTTTTGTACGATGGGGAGGGGGGGAGGTATTATACAAAGTACGTACTTTATAAACATACACCAAATTTAAATTTGACTTTATCCTACACNACTTAATTATTGATACTAATGATTCTAGACATCCATTCCCCCTCCCTTCCTCAAATCAATGCCAAATTTATTTCAAAAATCCAGGCCCCATTTGAAAGAACTCTTTCACCAGTAATAGCATAAAACCGTCTTTTAATTCATTGATAGTATGCTTTTACTAGTGTCGATCTACTAAACCTCATCGGAAGTTATGTATGACTCCACCTACTTAAAATGTAGCACCTATTTTGGGGCAAAATTTTCAACCTAAAAGTAACAACTGATTGGGGGCGGGGAGTATTAATTAAGGAAAAAAAATATTAATATTCTTAAGAAGCAGTTTTTTTGTCTTGATTGGGTCAATAAGTACGCTGCTGTTCACCATTTAAAGAAGAGTCAATTACTGACCTGGGAAATGATTAGATGAATTACCAAATATTGAAACTGTTGTTTTCATTGCTTCAAAAGGATCTAAGGCAAATATAATAGCTCCGCCAATGAGCAAATAAATCATATAAATAACTGTATAGCATAAAATAACATTCCACATTCGTGGCTGCAAGCGTTTTTGTATGAATTGCATTATTATAAACTCCCCGGTTTTAATATGCTTTGATCTATACCAAAATAAACATTTGTGAAACTTCGAATGTGTAATACACTATCTTTTCTAATTGAAACACATAATAGTGCAAACCTTCAAAGATGGGACCGCAATTAAAACACGTGGATCGACTTATCTGAGCAAAAAAGTTCACAAGTTAACGTTATGTTAGAATTGTGCTTATATTAGCTCTTTGGAGCAAATATACTGGAAATCCATCAATGATCAAGCAGTTGCAGATGCAACCAATAGGAATACGTATCTAGCTGGGGCATCCATGTGATTTAAACATAAAAAATATTATAGAGATGTACTCAAGTGATATACTTCGGCAACTGGCTAGAACATCTCGATATAAATCTAGCATATGTATTCCATTTTAATACTAGAGTATATAAAAATGAGTTTTTAAACTACGAGCTAAATAAAATCACGCTACGGTAAAACCCTTAACTACTAGTTAAACAGTGAAATTTATCGCTTTCTTTTATTATATTTCGTTGAATTTACTGATGTTCGCTGTAATATTTTGGTTGGTTTGTTTTAAGAAAAACTATTAAAATTTGTTGAGAATAACTTCCGGTATTCCCAATAACAACTTTGAAAAAAAAATTTGAACCATAAAAAAAAATTACGTCAAAAAAATATTAAATAACGAAAAAAACTGTTAAAAAAAGCATCCATAGTAATTTTTTATAATTTTTTTGAAATTGGCCACTCTTTAGTCATCTATAATTATTCAATTTATTAGGTTGTCTTAAGTAAGAACTTAAGTAATTAATTATACTGTGGCCTAACTACCACTACGAATAAACATCAATTCACTCGTATATAAGACATGCTAATTCGATTCCATGACGAGGTACCTTTTGATAGATGACGGTTGGCATGGTCGATAACTCCGCCTCCACATTGGTGACCCGGACGTGATTTGTACTCACAGTAACGCCCACTTCGCAAAATAACTTGACGGTAACGCCTACTTCGATGGATAGACCACAGTAAACAATTGACTTGCTACTTGTGAATGCGACATTATCCAATCCTCCTCACGCTGTTGCTACTCAGTCTCGTCTCGATTTAGCACAACGTCAGCCTGCATACACACAACTGCTAATGGCAACGCAGGAGCGACTACGACTGTGAAGTTAATACACCTCTCACTTACAGCACTCAAACACCCGGTGACTCTCTCTCCCGGTCTTTCACAAGTACCAGTGGTATCCATTCATCGAATTCTATCCCTGATATAATTCTGGTGGGGGAGTTTTGTGGCTTAACTACCACTACGAATATTAAACATCAATTCACTGGTATATAAGACATGCTAACTCGATTCAATCACGAGGTACCTTTTGATAGATGACGGTTGGCATGGTCGATAACTCCAATACGTTAAGCATTTGTTTAGATTCATTTTGCTGGGTTGTCTTAGGAAATAGTTTAAGCAGTGTTGAATAGTTAGTTGCACGTTAGGTACTTATTTAGAATAATTTTGTATTGTTTTAGAAATGAAAACTTAGTTGAAGCAATTATTTAGATTTATTTTTGATCCTTTCTAAAATGCCCAAACATTGCCATGGTGCGGCACTCTGTCATACCATTAATTGGTGACGGAGCTTGCCTTTTTCAATCTAAAGCATACATAATAATCGATATTCCAGTTATGGCTCGAGAGGTGCTTGAGGAAGTAGTATAGCACGTAATGGATCATCGGGTTGAGTTTTCTATCTTATCTCACGACAGAGTGGGAAAAAGTTTTAATATTTCTGCTTCCTACTAAGCTGAAATGTCCCGAACTCATACTAATGCAAGTTTGTGTGATTTAATGGCTGTCAGACAGATTTTAAAATTATTACTAAAATTCAATGCATAAAGAACTTTTACAACATCACGGACGTTTCTTGGAAATAGTTATAAGTTGAAATAAAAGTAGTTCAACAGCTAGACAGTGAAAAAATTTAGTTAATGTATTATTTAAAGCTAATTAAGGTGTTAGAATAGGAGGAGGAGTTAAAGAACTAGATTATTTTAATACAGTTGTGCTGGGCATTTGGCTTGGTTGCTATTAAAATTGATACTCTTCAAATGATAATTTTGAAAAGGATAATTTTCAAAGGATAATTTTCTGGCGGCTAATAGTATTTTATAAAACATGTTAAAGTCGTTCGGAATGCACTTTTTCTATTGGAAGTACAAATTAGTTCGATCCATTTTTTGTGTGATCAAAAATGCATTTATTTCAGAACAAAATGAATGAACAGATTAATAAAAGTATTGTCCATAGCTGGCTACTACTTTTTCCCACCTCTCAAGCAATTTTCGAATTCCATCTCGAAAAAATGTCTCGTCGTTTGAGGCGATCCAAGTCAGATGCCAATTTTTGATTTCTGCGAAAGAAGTGAACTGGTGACCTTCCAAATCATGCTGCATCCGTCGGAACAGCCAGTAATCAAAAGGAGCAATATCCAGTGAATACAGCGGGTGCGGTAAAACATCCCACTTGAGCGTTTCCAAATTATTTTTTACGACTTTCGCGACATCAGGCCGACCGTTATTATGCAGATGAATAACTTTGTCAAGTCTTTGCTCGTATTCCGGCTGTTTTTCTCGTAATGCAAGTCTCAAACGAATCAATTGTAGCCCATACCGATATCCCGTAATGGAATCACCAGGTTCTAGCAGCTCATTGTATACAACGCTATTCACCATTCATCACACACCATTCACCATTCTTAAAACCACGAAAACATTCCCTACATGATTTATCAGTCGGAGCATTGTCACCATAAACTTCTACAAGCATTCGATGTGCTTCAGCTGCACTTTTCTTGCAATTAAAGCAGAAACATAAAAACTCCCGCAAATGGTGCTTAGTTACCACAAAATTGGACATATTCAATAGAGTGAAAAACAAGGTTTTTGTATGAACCTCAAAGTGATATAAACTGAATATTACTGACAGATGTTTAACCTCTCTGAAACCACCGAAACCAGCTGTCACTGTGAAACATTCATAACAGCAGAGCCATCTCTTAAAAACTCACCGGACTAATTTGTACTCCCAATAATACTAAAGTATTTATCTTTAACCTGAAATAAAGACGACAGTATAACAATATTTTAATAAGATTACATTCAATTTTTTTTTTACTATGCTTGATGTTTCTGGAAAGATATTTTTATGGGCTTATTCTTTCTGGAGCTAAATTACATTATAATACCTTTCCTCATCGTAAAAATTGCTAATTACAGCTTTACTTCGTAATTACAGCTAATTTAAATGTCCATCTTTCTTCACTATCTTAATTTTTTAGTTTTTTTTTCTGTTTTATATTTTATTAACCATCTAATAATGATAGAGTATCATTTGATATTACAAAACCTTTCAAAAAGGAATAGAAATGAAACAGGACTGTGGTAAGGAGAAAAGTTTGAAAAAAATTCTTTGCATGCATTCTCAAGAACTTAAAACAATAAAATTATGCGATAACTGATTTTGGATCTGTAATTTATGTTGCATATACATTTATCTATTTCTATGTTACTTTAATTTTTATTGTTTATACTGATAAAAACTGATGCTGAAATTTTTTTCCACGTAAGTTACGCAAAAAAACACAATTTTCAAAAGTTTAAACTCAGTTGAAGATAAAGTACTAAAATACCTTTCTGAAAATGCTGATTGCAAAACTATGTTCATAATATTTTAAAATATGTTGAATATATGTTAAATATGTTGAAATATGTTAACATAGTACTGATTTTTTTTAATTTTTAAATCTGGACTAATGCCCGCTATTTTGTTTCTACTTCTATTTAAATAACGTAATGTCCCTTGATTTTGCACATTGTGATAAATTTGACCGAGATTTAAAGTTGAGCTAAGTTTCTCCACATAAGTTATAATGTTAATTAACGCGAAATTAATAAAATACAGCGCAGTATCTCTCTTCGAATGTGTTGAAATATAATTCCTTATCATCCACGACTGTTACTTAGCTTAGATTTATGATTCTCTATTTCAGTGCAACCGTGATATATTTTTGTTTTGTGTACCTGGTTAATTAGGTTAATTAGTTCGCTTGTGGGCTACATGGCTTCAAGCCTATTCTTGTGCTAAGTAAGAAATATATAGCAAAAGAATTAAGAAACTTTGTAAAAGAATTTTTGTGTAATCATATAGAATATGCCACTTAATCGGATTGATATTTGAAGGGCTTGGCTTACTTCAAATAGAATGAAAAGAACAGTTGCTAACGTAACCAAATGCCATGCTTCAACAACAAATCAGTATTGAGACACTACGTCACTTTCAGGTATCTCATTATGCTAGGCTATCAAACTTATTCTTCTAAACAATTTTTTTTTTTTTGCCGTTTCCAAATTAATTTATTTACAAAGAGGTTAAAAATGAATAAGCACAAAACGAGATAAATTTTGAGTCATTCCAATTTAAATTCATCTGTAAGATCCTCCACGGAGTAGCCTTTTTTCCTCATTTCGCTTTCAGTGGCACTTTTCAAGTTCTCAGTTGCCAATATTAAACCTTTGAAGTGATTTTCTAAATAAACTGTTTTGTCGCTTGCCACTTGATCTGCTCTCCAGATATCAATGTCTTTTTGAACTCCCTATAACAAAAATATTCTATAGAACAGTAAATTTGAGATATATATCATTGCCTTGAACGCTAATATCAGGATTTAATGGGGAGATTTCGTAAATTTACGTTAGATTTCGGACGCGCCTGTAAGTAAGATTTGAGGAAACTGCGCATGTGTCTGTGTGTGCAGGGCTAAAGAGAATACAAGGGCTAGTTCACTCCGCTCTTAGAGCTGAAGCTACGATTTCCCTCCTCATGACGTCACTGTGTCCACAGATCTCGGAGATCGCAAGCAAAGATATGATAACTTTGCATCTTTCTCTTTGTAAAAATAAGTTAGACTTTTTCTGGTTATTAGCNGCGGGACGTTGACGTCCCGCTGACGCCCAGATAAGGCTCTTGTCCTAAGAAACCAGACCTTAAGAAATATATAGCAGAAGAATTAAAAACTTTGTAAAAGAATTCTTGCGTAATCATACAGAATATGCCACTTAATCGAATTGATATTTGACGGGCTTGGCTTACTCGAAATGGAATGGAAGGAACAGTTGCTAACGTAACCAAATTCCACGCTACAACAACAAATCAGGATCGAGACACTACGTCACTTTCAGGTATCCCTTTAAGCTAGGCTATCAAACTTCTAAACAGTTTTTTTTTTTGCCGTTTCCAAATTAATTTATTTACAAAGAGGTTAATAATGTAAACACGAAACATGATAAATTTTGAGTCATTCCAATTTAAATTCGTCTGTAAGATCCTCCACGGAGTAACCTTTTTTCCTCATTTCACTTTCAGTGGCACTTTTCAAGTTCTCAGTTGCCAATATTAAACCTTTGAAGTGATTTTCTAAATAAACTGTTTTGTCGCTTGCCACTTGATCTGCTCTCCAAATATCAATGTCTTTTTGAACTCCCTATAACAAAAATATTGTATAGAGTAGTAAATTTGAGCTATATATCATTGCCTTAAACGCTAATATCAAGATTTAATAGGGAGATTTCGTAAATTTACGTTAGATTTTGGACGCTCTCGTACGTAAGATTTGAGGAAACTGCGCATGTGTCTGTGTGTGTGCTTATGATTTTTTAAAAAAGATATTGCGTATCTTTACGTTTTGCTAGTATGGTTTNCGCGGCGAGATATACTTCAAAGGAGTGAACCAGCCCTTCTATTCTCTTTAGCCCTGCTGTGTGTGTGCTTATGATTTTTTAAAAAAGATATTGCGTATCTTTACGTTTTGCTAGTATGGTTTTATACAGCTAAATAAAAAAATTTAATAGCTGTTGAAAGTTTTTTTCTTCTTGTTTATCTCCGAATTAACAACGCAAGCAAGTTACAGATAGATAAAAAAAAAGAACAAAAAAAAACGACAACACAAAATGAGGATTGAAGATTCTTTATTATGAAGTGTTGAAAGAAATTATGTGATTTTACAACAATTGGTTGATTTAATAAAAAATAAACTTTATTGGTTTTAGTTTTAAATAATGGTTGTCTAATTGCACTTGGTCCTTAATAAACTAAATATTTATTTCATTATTTAAAATTGCAGAATATATTTATTTTAATTATACAATTCAATTGGAAGAAGTTTAATTTCCATAAAATCTTATAAATGTTTTGATTTTATGGTCAAAGATGATAACGTGAAGATGATTACGCTACGCCAATACGATACGTTAGTATTTTTCTTATCTCTATAATCTCTTATTTTCATTCACGTAAACTTTATATATAATACTTCATAATACTTTAATAACATAATACCTCAAATCTTACTTCTGAGATGAACGGAATATAAAAGTGTGAAATCTCTTTGATCTCGCAACGTTCACGTACGTTAGATCTGCGCAGAGCTGTTACCACTAAACAGCCTCTGATCTTTACAGAGTTTACGCAGTTACCACAAAACAATCTGTTGGAATGGTATGTTACACCAAGTAACATATTGAACTAACCGCACATAGTTAAATTTCGGTCCTGTGATGGCAGCTGGTATTTTTCTCTTTCAATTTACATACGCGACGCCATTTGCTGTACATGCAAATAGTGAATCTATTATTTATAATACATATATTTTTTGACAGTAATTTTTACTCTTTTTTTAGTGAGTCTTTACTAAGTTAAAAGTGTATTGTAGTTATTATTATTTTTTTTTTGGTTAGCTGTAATGAGATGATACTGAGATGATTAGAAAAGATTGTATAAAATCTTTCTTTTAATTCGGTTCGCTGCAGAGTTTGCGCAGAACCTGAGAGAGCGAAATCTGCCTAATATAGAGAATTAGTATTTTCAGGTAGCATTCCGCAAGTTCACTTATGTATTATCTATTGAACTATCTCATGTCTCGGCAGATATTGCACATCATATACGTACATAAACGACCATGATGCTGCGTGAAAGTGTTAAATCTAATTTCAAAATTAATGTTTAATGCTAAATATAAAAAACGATACACCTTAATAAGTGTTGATCTAATAATCGGTAACTGAGATGCAATCTTATTTCAGTCTAATCTTAAATATGCTAAATAACTCCCACAGTCGATATTTTAAGTTATAAAATAAGACACTGAAACGTACTTTAGCATACTTTAGAACATACTTTTTTTTAAAATACATTTTTAACCCTCAAAATATAAGAAATGGTTGCAATCTTGAAAATGTGATCCCCGTAGTGAACGCGGAATTTTTGGTCAAACGAAAAGTGCACATATTTCGCTTTCACCTCTTTTAACCGAGGAAACGATGGATTCTTCGGTTAAGTTTTCTAGCCAACTCGTGATGGTTAAGTAATATTAATCTCTTTCGAGAAATTGACAGATCTGTCAAGGTCTTTTTCAAAATTCAGGCAAGACTCACAGGCTTCAGAATGGAAAAATCTTGCGGAAGCACTCGCAATATGTGACTTGGGCAACTCATTTATTCTCTCAAACATTAAAATAAAGCGTTTTTGTTCGGAAAAAAGAATTTTTTAATTTTTAATAACTTTTATGATCACTCTGTTTTTCGAAAACATTTTTTTTTCAATTTTAATGAGATATTATTTAATCATGCTGGTCTTTTTAAGATCCCGATTATGAAATGAACATAACTTTTATGATCACTCTGTTTTTCGAAAACATTTTTTTTTTTCATTTTTAATGAGATATTATTTAATCATGCTGGTCTTTTTAAGATCCCTATTATGAAATGAACATAACTTTTATGATCACTCTGATTTTCGAAAACATTTTTTTTTTCATTTTTAATGAGATATTATTTAATCATGCTGATCTTTTTAAGATCCCGATTATGAAATGAACATAACTTTTATGATCACTCTGTTTTTCGAAAACATTTTTTTTTCATTTTTAATGAGATATTATTTAATCATGCTGGTCTTTTTAAGATCCCGATTATGACATGAACATAACTTTTATGTTCACTCTGTTTTTCGAAAACATTTTTTTTCCAATTTTAATGAGATATTATTTAATCATGCTGGTCTTTTTAAGATCCCGATTATGAAATGAACATAAATCTACTTCTTTTTTTATAAAGCGATTTTCTAATGACTGGACTTGAAATCATTTACCTGATTTTCTGTTTCTATTAAGCTTGAAACATATGTCTGATTTTTCCTTAGAATGAACTTAAAATCATAGACCTGATTTTCTGTTCTATTGAGCTAGAAACCTACATCTAGTTTTTCGTTAGACAGAGCTTAAAATAATTTACCTGATTTTCTGTTCTTTTGAGCTTGAAAACAGTTAATTATCAGTATCTTAATTTTTTTTACTGTCTAAAACGTCATAAATAATTCTCATCGCGCGATGTTGGGTGTGGCTTTTGTTCTGAGTAAGATATCTTACTTATGTAATAGCCATACAATCCAATTCTTCCAATTTAACCTATAAAACACTTATGATCTAAGATATGGAAATATCACGCTGTCCACCAAGTTGAGTTTCAAACTAAAAACTACTTACAATAAGGATTGGAACTTTTTGAATATACAACTCATTAGTACTCATCATTACTTTTTCAAAACTAACAAATTTTGAATACACTTGAGAAAAACACCATGCTTCTCTTCGTGTTCCTAATGTTTAAAACCTTAATGCACCGATAGTTGGATACCTGCAAGTGACGTCATCGTGAGTAAATCGTGGTGTTTGTCTATTCAAGAGCCAATCATGTCCAGCACACACGCATGACGTCGCTTACAGACATCCAATTAAATCTGATTTACATCACGTGGTCAGGCATAATCACTTCCCTTCTTCCCGAGTTGCAAGTACCCAATAATAATTAGATATCTCATAAAATGGTCACCTTTTCAGCTCTCATAAGTCTAAAGTGGACATCCAAGCTCTCAGGGTTCACATATACTGGTCGAAACTCGAATATATGCTCTTCGATGTCTATGTGGAGTTCATAAAGGAGATATCGACTGAAAACTCTGGATAATGCATCAGATGTGAAAGCGAAAAATGCTACAGCGTGCACCATCCAGGCCAGTAGCAGCAATCGATAGACAGCAAAGTACGTATTTCTTTTCAAAAATTGACCTGCAATATGATGCATGCTTGAGTATTTAAGCAAAATAGAAATATAGTACATTATTATTCAATAGTTAGTACTTAAACTGATATTTATTGATTTACACGGACAAGCTTGAGTTCAAACAGTCACGTCATTAAATTTTTGTTGTTTTCACCCACCTCCATGATTGATTTGAAGTGTTGTTTTAGTTTCATAGCGTTCAATAGATTTAAAAATCATAATTAAAGGGCATTCCATGTAAAATTTCGAAATGTTTTTTTCGATATGACTGTTTTATTCATATCTAATTCTCAATTCCATTAAGACAGAATTTAAGATGAGTCATTTTGCTTTCATTTTTTGTTTAAAAATTGAAATAAAACGTTTCATATTGCAATCGCATTCGTGTTATCATAGGCTGCTGGTGTCGGAAAGACTCTTACCATATACTTAGAAAGCATATAACCTAACGGCAACCTGGCGCCGAAATTTTCTTTTTATTATCACGAAAATGTTTGTACTTAAAACCTTTTTTCAATGAAGCAAAAATATTTCAGTTTTAAACCTTTCATTCTAAGAGAATAAGAAATTATTTTTTAAAGCTTTTTTAAAAAGTATTGTCACTTAGATCCGTTTGACGTTTTGGCTGACGTCACACTTAGCGATAGGATCAAATTGCATTGTCCATTAAAATTTCATGACAAGGTGGATTTTAGCTGAGCATGCAAGACGTTGCGAAAAGAAACCTTATAATTACCTAGATTTAAGATTATTTTCACCTTGAGACTAGCTTTATTAAAGGTTTTTTTCACACAGAAAAACCCTGACTCAACCTCGATTAAAGGTTTTTATATAGAAGGTTGTTTTCCAAGGTTTTTGATAAGGGTAATGTGGTTAGAATAGAGCAGATTGTCACAGATCTTGTTTTAAGGTTAGAAGGTTTACGCGTGAACCACATTGCAAACCTTTTTAGGTTAACATTGAAAAGTTTTTGCTGAGTGAAAGTAAACCTTATTTTGCTATCTGTGGTATAGTGAAGGGAGAATCGCGCTTTGTGTTATCATGGTTCTGAAAAAGTTAAGGAAAATTACTTTTCTATCAAATCAAAAATTTTTTTGGGTGGTTAGGAGAAATTTTCTATTTTGATTGAGAAAAATCTACGGTGCTCTGAAGTAATTGTTTTTCTAAAAGGGGAAACTTTACGGTGTTTAAGAGAAAGTCTTTTCGAGGAATAGTGGTGCTACCTTAGTTTTTATTATCTTGCTTTCTTGTCTGATAAGAAATAAATTTGCAATTAAAATTTTGACCACTTCTCCATTTTATAGAGCATTGAAATATTTAATATAGCTCAGTGTCTAATGACAATAGAAGTTTCAATCGTTTTTTCATCTCTTCAACCAGAACTTGTCGTCATATCATTTCCAAAACTAATTTACTGCCAAACCAGAATTCATCATCTTTCTGATCAATTAAAGCGCTTACATTTCAACTGAAGTTTTGTATCTCAATTCATTGCAAATTACAAATATTTTTTGAATGATGCAAGCAAACGTTTTCGGCAATCGAAATTTTCACCTCTACGAAATTAACAAACAGAAAATTAATAAGACAATAATAAAATAAAACTTCGAATAATATGTTCTCCAAGTATACTGAAAGAGAGAAAATAATTCTTTTTTTTAATCACTCACACTAAGAAAAACATATAAATCCGTATGGAGCATACTTAAGAAACCGTGTATATCGTTCTTTTAGAGAGATTTCACAAATTTAAGTTAGATAGCGTACACTTCCATCTGCAAGATCTGAAGCAACTGCGCACGTGGTCGCTTTTTTTTAGAACTTACGTACCTTTACGTATTGTTGGTCTGGTTTTACAAAGCTACAAGTTAACTAATCATTGCTGTTTAATGTTGTTTCTTGCTTAAGCCTATCATCGAATTAACAACATGGACGTGTTACAAATAAATCAAGAACACGAACTGAAAATGAAGATAAAACTATACGTTATTACAAAATGTAAAAATGAATCGTGTGATGCTTCAACAATTGGTTGATTTAATCACAAAAATAAATTTTATGAGTTTCAGTTCAAAATTATGATTGTCTAATTGTAATATGCCCATAAGAAACAAAATATTATTTCATTATTTAAAATTATAGAATATGCTTTACTTTAATTATATAATTTAGTATGGAGAAGTTTATTTTCCATAATATCCACGTCCAATATTTGTTTTGATTCTGTGGTCGAAGTTAAAATGATATTTCACTACTTATCTTTATTCACTTATGGATATTTGTAAAATCTCTTATTTTCATACACGTTAGTTCGATACTTTTAGACGTATGCATGCGTATTTTACCAGAATTAGTGCAAGCGTGCTTCAAGTACTCATGCGCAATCACTTCAAATCTTACATACAGGAGCATACGGAATATAACGCAAAAGTGCGTAATCTCCATTTTATGTCTAATAAAAGGAGAAAGCAAAAATCATGTATAAAGCAGTTAAATACTATAATTCCAAAGGAGAGTTGGGCAATGCAGCAGAAAATCCATAAGAAAATTGAAACCAATAGAAAATTTTAAAGAAGAAACAATGAAATGTATAAATGATAACCGAAGCTGACGTCCTCAAAGGATACCAGCTCCGGAAGTCATAAAGACACAAAACCACGACAAATGTATAAAAATTGCTTTCTCTGTACCCCAAAGGTTTTCTGAAAAGTCCAGGGAAAGAGAAAATAAATACGTAATACAAAATACAAAAAAAAAATACAAAAGCAAATTGCATAAACTAATTACAGAAAGGAAAGCATTGTTGAAAAAATCTACTTAAAAATAGTCTTATTTCAAACCAAAGCGCGGAGCTTTCTGAAAATCTTTAACCAAACTGAAATTTGAAAACAAATTACGCCCACATTTAATGAGAAGAAAGAAAAAAAGAAAAAGAAAAAAGCAAGTAATTTTGTTTTATGTATTTCTTTTCTCTTTTCCTAGACTTTTTACAAAATCATTGGGTTACCGAGAGAGCAATTTTTGGACATTTGTAGTGCTCTCTCGATAGAAAAGGTCTTGTGTTTTCATGACTTCCGGAGCTAGTACCCCCTATCGACGTCAGTTTCGATTGTCATTTTTATATATTTATTATTTTCATTGTTTTCTTTATTAAAACCCATTTTATGCCTACTTACCTACAAGAAAATCTCCTAGTCCGCTAGTAGCTGCTGTTGTTGTTGTATAATACACACCATCAAGGAAACTCCAGTGCTCTGTGTGCAGGAATACGGCAGAGGGAAGAAAATAAAAGATAAGGGCCCAGAAGGCGTAGAACAAGAAAATCATAAAGTACTTGCTTCGTACTTTGTCCCTCAAGATGTAAATCATCTCGTTTTGAGATTCAGCATAAGACTGTCCAAGGACTTTATTGAATAGCGTGCATAGCGGTACACCAAGTATGACATAAAATATGGCGAACATTTGACTTGAGGGACTATGGGGAGTGATGCCACCATAACCTACGAAATAAAATGATCATAAAATGTCAAAATTTAAATTATAACATAATACAAGTAGGAGATGTTCATAAATTACGCAAAGGCGTTTTTTTAAATGTCACTGCAATTAACGGCGTGTTGTATTTAAAATCGTGTACGTTTTTTTTTCCGCTTAGAATAAGCACTGCTAGAAATTTTGGTGTGCGTTGAACCACATATCGTGTACATTTATTGCAACTCTTATACGTTACCAAATTGAACCACATTGCTATGCACATTTGCGGCAACCTTTATACGGTGCTAGGTAGCACCAAATTATCATACACGTTTATAGCAAATTTAATGTGATTCCAAGTAGAACTGCATTTTTAGAAAATTTTTTACTCTGCCAAGTGGAACCAAATTATCTTGCGCATTTATAGTAACGTTTATACTATGCCAAGTTGAACCAAAGTATCATGCCCATTTGTATAATAGACCTAAATATGGTGCCAAATGGAACCAAATAATTCTGCACATTTGTAACAATCTTTACATTGCGCCTAGTAGAACCATATTACTGTGGTTAATTTGAAAGAATCCTAAACTGGTGCCAAGATGACTACGATGTAAAACTAGCGTAAGTGATAACGTTCCAGCTATCTACTTTTACGATGTAAAACTAGCGCAAGTGATTACTACGACTAGCGTAAGTGATTACTTTCAATGTCTATGAAAAAAGGACTATGTTTAAACTAACAAGTTGCGACAATTTAAATTATTGAGTTCAATTTCTACTCTGCTTACATGTCTATTTTTTGTAATTAAAAAAGCATCGGTGATTCGGATATTAATTAGCTTTAGTTTTTGTTTTAATTTCGTCTTAGAGTGAGAAGAAAAATTCCAAATAGCTCGTTATTATCTTTTATTTCAAAAAACATTAGTTTATTGATTAGTTTCAATCATGAACTTATCGGCGGAGAGGTTTGTTTTGACACTTTTTCTATGGAAATATTAGTCTTTTTAGTTGTATTCAAAATTGAAAGGATACAGATCTGAAGTTTTATTACCTCAATGTCTAAAAACTGTTTATTAACGTTAGAAAAAAGATGTAATTAAATTTGTTAGTCTATTAACGTCACACTAGAACTACACTAAGGGACTATTAGTGAATAATTAAACAAATTGAAGAGGCGAGTAGCTGAGTGTTGTAAGTTACATTTTAGGGAATTTAAGTGAATATGTTCAAAAGTTTTTTCTCTAGCATTTGGAAATTAATATACTAGGTCCTTATGTGATGAACCGAATCCAATTGGCAAATACAATTGGCAAAAACTGTAAATCCCTTATACCTATTCAAACAGTTCACGTCATAAACTGTTCACATCACGCCCCTTCTCATATTAATTTTTTTGCCGTAGAACAGATTTTTTAAAGTTATTCGCCAACTATTTATATTAAAATGCAATTGGAGCTTTCGTCAACACCGGAACACTCATAGAACGGTACAAATTGCCTGAATGTTGTAGTGTGAAATAAGACTGAAATAAAACCTGTCCACAAGAAATCTCAAATGAAAAAATGTGACTTAAAACCATCTTTCACTAAGCTCTCCAATCGGATACCTGTAAGTGACGTCCACGTATGCAAATCGAGACATTCGTTTTTGCTGCGATTCAGGAGCCAATCATATTCGACACACAAACGTGACGTCGCTTACAGGTATTTAAATAAATTTGATCTGAAAATTGATTCAACGTAAGAATAAACAAGCCTAAGGTAGGCCTAATCACGTTTTCTTCTTCTCGAGTTCGGATCCAATTTGTGTTTAGTAAAAATATCTTGATCTACCAATTGGTAATAGACTCACCTATGGTTGCCAACATTTGATAACAGAAGAAAACACAATTAAAGAAGGTCCACCAGAGATTGTCTTCGTATAATGGATAAGTAAAGTAACCAAATGGACTTTTTGGATAAAAATTCAAGACGGCTTCTTTTATTTGAGCTGCTGTATAGTTGCCCGCTAACAGCACTTGCTTCATTTCTTTAAAATAAACGAATCGATTAGATTTTGGTGGTTTAGTGAACATAATTATGAATCATTACATACTGCCTAGTTCATTGATATTGTTTAATAAAATCTATTTTATTTTTTTAATAGTCCGATTTACACCTAGTTAGTCTTTTTCAGTAGTTTTTTTTCTTCTTGAATATTTTAAGCTGTTTCCAGTTTTATAATATCTTTTTAAGGGAAAAAAAATTAAAAATGTTATTTGAAGAACGCTAATTTTATATCCATAAATTTAAAACGAAAACAAGGTCACTCCTCAATCTCTGGATGATAGTTCGGTTACCTACATTAACTTACAATTTCACAGTATGGTTTGGTATTAGAAAAAAGTTCCAAGATCTACTGTACCGTCAGAGGGTGTAACTTTGTGCAACGAGGGGTGACTTTGAGCAAACTGTCATTACCAACATTATAATAATTAAAAGCAAAAAATTATGCATGATTTGTTATCTCAATTGATAAGACTTTTGAAGTATAACCTACCTTCCTGGTCAGGAGAACTAGAACTTCTTCAACCGAGCAAACTTTCCAGCCTCCGATTTTGCGACGTTAAAAAATTTGAAACTGCTTGCAACTTGAGCTCACAATTTTCCAAGAACGATGATGTTTACATTGCCAGTTCTTGGTAAACCGTTAATTTGTTATGTTGACAACTCAAATCAGTTGATACCGAGCTTAAAAAAAATACCCCTGGATGGCACGATGCAAAAATTGAAAAAATGGCAGTTTGCACGAAGTCACCCCATCTGATGGTACTATATTATTCAAATAATTTGCAATTTAAACTAAAAATTTCGAAATCCTTTCATGTAATATTTGTTTTAAACCTAATTTGTGACTAAAAGTGGTATTTTTCCGTTAAAGGAGGCAGTTGGCAATAATTAAATTTCTTTTGGCATATCAAACACCACATATAATAATCAAACAATAATAATTGCTGGAATTTGATGACTGACTTGCTGGTATTAATCTGGTATTTGAGTCGTGGTGACTCAGGGAATATAGTGTTCGCCTTCCAATGAGGTGAACCGGGTTCGAATCCCAGTGATGGCTAGTTGATACGAATTCCGCACCTGGCTTGCACCTACAACAGTGCTGATGTAAAATATCCTCAGTGGTAGACGGATCATGGGTTGGAGTCCCCTTGCCGTTAGACTAACCATGGGAGGTTTTCTTCTCCATGTAACGCAAATGCGGATTAGTAAATATCAAAAAGTCCTCTACGAAGGTAAATTTCTTTCAATACTTGATCCAGGAGTTCCCCTGTCTTCTAGATTGGGTTCAAAATTGCAGGGCTACGGAGTTGAACATCGGTAATCCTAAACCCAAAATTGGGTCAGCTGTTCAAAGATGGTTATAAAATAAAATGAAATGATGAGATGGCAGTGCTATCCCCCGGTATACCCTACACTGATATTTTAAATGTTAAGAACCGTTGCTACCGGTATACCCTAATACTGCCCGTTGAGGTGAAGGATTGTTTTTGTGGTCCAATATTCGCTTACTGCAATTTGGCTTTTTTTTTCCTCTTTAACGCCCCTCAAAATTTAAAAGACAAATGAAATTAGTTTTTTTTAAAAAATTGAAAAAGGTTTGAAAGAAAAAGGTTTGAAATAATAATTCTATTTATGTTTAATTAAAAAAACACCATTAACACGTAAGGTATTTTGTATGAATGAAAAAAATAGGTTTCTTTTCTACCGAGTATATAATAGTAAATATAAAGTTATGAAGCAAGTCAGTTATCGAAAATTATTTTTAGTACTTAGTCGTCTGGGAGGGGCATAAAAAATCAATTACCACAATAATATTAGATATCTGGTACTTACATTGATGTATTAAATATTCGTTAAAATAATATCAGTAGCACTTATTACCAAAATTAATTAAGTATCATTGGCGCCAACATCAATTATGACAACATCAATTTTTTAACCCCCTCTGAAACGGATAAATAACAAATATTTATTGTTCTATTACTTTTAGGAAATATATGATTTGGTTAATCTATGTATCTAAAAGTAATTTGCAAGCCAACTATTTTACTATTTAAGTTAAAAGTAACAGCCACTTAAATTTGCAATGAAAAGATTGACCTTTGAAGTGAAGAGATTGATTGCTAAACACAGGAGCAGTTGTTTGCAATGGTTGTACTCCATCAAACATTAAAAAGACAGCGCCGCCCACAAGTAAATAAAGAGTATAAAATACTGAATAACAAAAAACTACATTCCACATTTCGGGCTTTAAACATCATCCCAAACAGATAATCCTTTAATGAACGATGTAAATAAAACCCTTAATTATGCAAACCTTTAAAAATATGACCTTTATCAAAAGACATCAATAGAGATGTCCAAGCCAGAAGCTGAACTTAGATTTTGGGGATTTAATTATCGACTATGTCAACCATCATCTATCAAAAGGTATTTCCAAATAGGATCAAGTTAACATGTGTTATATACTAGTCAATTGGTATTCAATATTTATAGTGGTAGTTACGCCACAAAACCTTGAGATTCTGTTTTTCTCTCGTATGTTTTATGTGCTTCAATAAGTTTAATAAATATGCTGTTCACTCATAATTTTTTTATTTTATTTAATCTAGTACATAATTTTATACACTAGTAAATACGTTCACTATACAAATCCATTAATTGATTGCAATCATTAAAAATCATGTTCCGTAAGCAGAGTCTACTTCCAGTTCTCTACTTCCCTTCTACTTCCATTACGTTCAAAGTCTACTTCCGTAAGCAGAGTCCACTTCCAGCATTTGACCACAAGTGGAATAAAAGTTCTCTGGAATGAGTGGCTCTAAATGCTTGGCGAATGTCTCGATCGGACAATATTCTTCACAATTCTGAAGTGTGAGAAGGTGAGGTTCTTGGCGACCCAATTCAGGATGAGTAGCATTAAAGAATAGCATTCGAACGGAGAAACGTGATGTAGATTCTTTGTATAGTTCTATAGTCACAGTTGCACCAGGCGGTGGTCGGCGTCCGTTGTAACTTCTAATAGCAGATAAGAAAGCTGATAGGTTCCAGTCATGCTAGAAAAGAAAATTGAATTAGATTGAACAGATTTAAATTAAGTATTAGGCAGGAAGAAGCAAGCGGTAAGAATGAGGCATACAGGAGGTTTACCGGAAATTCTAGTTTTCAAAATTATAGTTCTTATTATCACACATTTAGTAAAAAATATTTTAAAGTAAATTTAACCGAAAGTGAACGTAAGCAGCTTTAACCAAAAAGTAAAAAATAAATTTTTGTGAAAAGTAAATTTAACCGAATAAATGTTTTTCATACCATGCTCTAAAGTATCATGATCAAATTACCAAGTTTTACCACATTTACCAAATTTTAACAAGCATTATGGAGTCATATTTTCTAGTCAATTTCAGCAAAATCGTAAAAATTAACGTGCATTTCGGTGTTCCTATAGAGCCAGAGAAGCACCGTTAATTTCACCATAGTTTTGATTATGCATTTTTTCTTAGAGTAAAACGATCACAACTAAGAAAGAGGTTGATTTTTTTAAGAAAAATCGGTTCATTTCTTACTGTCATGTAAACGCTGACTTTTGTAGGGTCATCCACTATTTTCTTAGCTCTCATTCGGACAGTCATGAATTGCAGAAGAGGACCTAAAAAAAGTTATTAGTCGAATTCAGTATGCTTATTTTATCAGAATTATTTAGAATGATTGGATATGAAATGATATTTCTGAATTACTCAGAAGCAAAAAAAAAAAAAAAAAAAATTTTTTTTTAAATTNAAAAAAAAAAAAAAAATCAGAAATAAAAATATATTATAATTTTTTGTTTCTGTTCCAAATGAAACTCTTCCGTAACGTGACAAACATCTAATCTGTAAGCAAGTTCGCTGCATTCATTCCGTAATTTCACAATCAATGATTCCTAATGCTATACAAATACGCTTTTAAAGTTCTTGCAGCGTTTTAAGCATTGGTGGTTCATAAACAGCATCTAGGGTTTGTGAACGATAAGTGGATTTTCCTTAATCACATAGCCACAGAGATCACCGGACATATCACCTCGTGATTTCTCTTAAAGGAATCACGTCATACATGTACTTTTGTACGTTTTCTCGATGCATATGTACCCTTAATACTCAATTTTATGGAAGCTTCTGAAGATATACATATTGGGTGGTGATTGGAGAACACTTTGTCGGAAAGAGGAGAGCTAAGGTAGACATTATTTACAAATTAGGAAAAAAAACCCTTATTAAATATAATTTTAAACTCGTGATGTATTTTTTTCACTTCTGGTTCACTGGTTGTACTTCAACGTAGAAACATTGCTATTTTTGAAACTTATATGTATAATTTTTTCAATAAATATTATATTTTAATATAATGTTTAATTTCTTTCTATTTTTTATATTTTATGTGTATTTAATAGTTTTATTTTTTAGATGAGTTTTATGGCAGTTTTTAATCAATTCAAAATCTTTTTCCGAGTTACATAGATTGATTTTTAAGGTAATGAGATTCGTTTTTTTTCACGTGGTTCGAAGAAGATGGTGATTTCTTATAAAGCAATTATTATATATCAAGATGGCTAAGCTAGCGTCACTTCATTTACTTGCCTGCTGAATATTTAACAGTGATCAGTTAGTTAGGTTATAGCAGCAAATTGGAATATGTTCATTTCAAAGTAAAATAGTGTAAATAGCTGGTTGCCAATAACAACCACACTATTAGGGTCAAGTGATATAGTTCAGCCTCTGTTTTGGACATGTCTGTGGCGTTAAAAGAAACAGTTCGTGTGTTCTTCTTTTATTGTCTGCCCAAGAACAATTGATGTTTTGGTCCCTAAAATCGGACAGCGGGCACAAGAAACAATTTTATCTCCAATCAAAAATAAATAAATAATTAATTTTTCTTTTTTAAATTTCAGATAGAACATTCTGGGGAGTGTGCAAAAAATGAATTTTTCTCAAAAGATTACCAAAACTGCAGTCCTTTTTTTTCCTTCAAATTCTTAAAGGACCATCAATATTGTTTGNCGTTATAACCCAAGAAGTTTCTGTGTACAAAATAAACAACAACTAAATTCCATTCGTTTAGCATTGCGTCATATGTTGTTCCTACTAAATCGAAGTAGTTGTGTTTTTTTCATATTATACCCAATTAGAGTCAAGTGATATAGTTCAGCCTCTGTTTTGAACATGTCCGTGGCGTTAACAGAAACAGTTCGTGTGTGCTTCTTTTATTTCTTTTAGCCCAAGAACAATTGATGTTTCGGTCCCTAAAATCGGACAGAGGGCACAAGAAACAATTTTATCTCCAATCAAAAATAAATAAATAATTAATTTTTCTTTTTTAAATTTCAGATAGAACATTCTGGGGAGTGTGCAAATAATGAATTTTTCTCAAAAGATTACCAAAACTGCAGTCCTTTTTTTTCCTTCAAATTCTTAAAGGACCATCAATATTGTTTGATAACCTATGCAGCTTTATTTATACAAAAACGAGTCACACTGGGAGTTTAGCGCAAGTTTTTTTTAACAGTAAATGTCTTTTCTTTGTTGCCTCAAGTAAGTTCTTCTTCTTCTTTGTCAGTGCAACAGCCCCGTTGTAGGCCTTGGCTGCCTCAACAGCTGAGAAAAGCCAGCGCCTCCTGTCCATGGCAACTCCCTTCCAATTTCTAGTCGTTAGAGTTTTCAGGTCATTTTCCTTGTCGTTGAGCCATATAGTTTGGGTCTACCTCAGGGTTCTTAAAGGGGACAATTCTCATGGCGCTAATTTCAATTTTTCTCCATGGTCATCTCAGCCTCAAGTAAGTTCAAGATAAAAAAAAATATGAATGCTGTTGCTCAAGCAAAGTTACCGAATTATATTTTTGAAGCCATCTGACATACCGATATAATATCTGCACTGATGCAAATACAATCTGATGTAGTAGCAACGGTAAGTCAAGCGCAAGTTCATCGGAAAAATTGCTTGATTGCGGTAAATTGGGACATCATGACTTGACTGTAATCATTAACTTCTGAGTAGTCATTGATTCTGAGTAAAGTCAATCTGAGTAGTTTGATTCTGAGTAGTTTGCTGAGTTGAACTTCTAAAAACGAGTTTGATTCATTCTAATAACGTAAAGTCACCGAGAAGGGCAACATACCAAAATTAAAAAATGGAATTCTTTTAACTTCCTTAATTATGTCTCTGTATGCTTTTCAGTTTTGTGTATGATTGCTCAGTGTTCATTTATAAATATTCATTGACTGTTTACTTTTCTTTTCATCAAGAGCAAAGAACGGGTTTCCATTTAGTTTTTAATTCTTTATTAGTTATCTGAAGAATTATTTATACATGATAAGATTATTTATTCATGATAAGATTTTGTGGAAATGGAACAAGAGCTTCACATTTTAATTGGCATGTTCTTGAAAATTTCTTTTAGCTTTTATTTATTGAAAGAAGTTTCATGAACCAACTATTAATTGAAATTCATCATTAATATGAATGATACTTTAAAACAATTTAAACAACACATATTTCTGTCAAATTTATTTATTGTTTTGCTTACCAATTTTCAGTTGAAGACTTCTCACAGTTTGGTAATTCCAGCCGTGCGCAGCATCTGTCAACCTTTCTAAGTGATGCCAATACTTACTAGCCCATGCTGGTACTTTGAGACCCAGCGTCCTCTATTGGAGTCAACATATTTGTAATTGCAAACATTTAGAAAATAAAATGAATATGATAATGAATAGAATTAAAAAAAATTCAGACCTAACTCTTTCACACCTAAGACAGCATTTGAGGATTATGAAATAATCTTTATTATAAAAAGCTTAGGCTCTCTTAATAAATGTCATTATTTTATGTAATGAATATTATTATTACGTGTGTATGCATATGTTTATCTATTATCAAGTGTGAAGTGTTTAAATATTCTGCATGCTGTTATTTGATTATTTTTGTTAGGTTGCATTTTGCCGTTTTTATCCCATTTTTAAAAACTTCTTTAACCTGTTAACGGGAGAAAAAACCTTTGTTAAACTCATTTCCTCAATCAAGACTATTTTCCTCGTAGCTTTAAGCAATACTAGCAAGTTCAAGTAATTTCTATGCCTAATGTCGCCCATCGCAGAAGTAGTTCGTGTATGACGAAATATTTTGTCATACCCGGTTAACAGAATTAACTAGGGATTGTAACTTTAATAGTGGTTACAGTGCCGTAAAGACGTCACCAAATGATACCTCACGTTTGTTACAGAAATACCCACTTCACCTCAGAGCGTATATGAACTCTTCAACATCATGCGCATGCGTCCTCGTGAAAAGAACAAAGCCTCCTGTCAACAGGTCCCGCAGTGGACTGATCGTTAAGACACGGTTCCCAGCAGATCACCGAAGTCAAGCATCACTGGCTGCGGTCAGTGTGCGGGTGGGTGACCACTTGGATCAGTCTGCGTAGGGACCGAGGGTGTGCGGTATTGGTCCTCGTTAAACTGTGCTACCGTAAAGTGCTCGACTTCGCGCGCAGGTCGTCGGGCTACCGAAGCGGGGGTGCCATCCCCTCCGCAGAGGATCAAAATTGTGATGGCATGTCTTCGGATCATCCTCCGGGATGTTTCCCAGATCGTCGCCAATAGCCCATTGTGCAGCTCTAGTGTGACGTAAATTAACAACAAAAACAACATCCTGTCAACAGACGCTGTTGTCACGTTATTTTCTAAAGAAGATTAATAGAGTTAAATATTAAAATAAATGGGCCAGAGATCGTAAAGCACAATAGTATCATTAAGATTTTCAACAAGTTTGTGGTGAATCTTCATTGTCTTATGAAGCATTCTCACTGCATGCAACTCGAATATGCAATGGTACTTTGACACGATAAGTGCATATGCGAGCAGTTCGTTTTACATATAGTTTCTAAACATTCGCACTTACGTCTAGAGCAAATGCGTATAGTGGTGGATGTGCACCCTGATAGAACAGTAGTGAGATGGTGTGTAAACTTCTTTAACTAGCGGTGCCAAAATGTGCCAGACATGCATCAGTCAAGTTGTCGAATAACGTTTACAATTTTTGAGTTGCGAAAAAAGACGGATGAATGACGAGCAAAAAGTTCTTAAAAATTTACATTTATAGACATACTTATATTTATTACTATATTCAACAAACTTCTATTCTAGATAATTAAGTATCATTATAGATAATTAAATACCTTAAAAATTTTCAACAAGTTTGTGGTGAATCTCCATTGTCTTATGAAGCATTCTCACTGCATGCAACTCGAATATGCAATGGTGCGTTGACACGAAAAGTGCATATGCGAGCAGTTCGTTTTACATATAGTTTCTAACTAAGATTTAGCACGTCGCTGGCAGCGAGTTATTATTTTGGATAATGTTGGTGATTACTTTGAAAACCTGTTAAAGTATAACTGAGAAGCAAGAGAATAACTACGAATAAAGTTACCCCTTTGAGCCATTAAGGTTGAATTTTAGTATTTGGTAATCTCATTATTGAATCAAAAATTACTTAGATGCATTTTTTATTTTGTGTACTGTGGAGCCGATTTTTCTCAGAGAAGTATATGTAAATATTGATTTTTATAGTTGAAAGGCATATAAATATGTACTGTTATATGAAATCTGACTTCGTTTATCCATGATTCGAAACGAGTGACCAAATAAGGAATATTGGAAAGAAGTATCATTTATGTAAGAAAAGGAAACTTACTTCTTTCTCTAAAATGTCGAAAAGATAAGCCACGTCGTTCCAGTTTTCTATTAACATGCCACTGTGATTTGACCAGAGGGAATAATGGAACTAGAAAGAAAAAACATTTCAATACAAGAGCTGAAATACAGCAGGCACTGAAAGGTTAACCGAAGTGCAATTAACACGTTGGGCGCAGCGTCAGCCTTTGGTGACTGATACTGAAATTACATTTAGTCCGCCTCAACCACAGGTGGCTGACACTGAAATTACATTTAGACCACGTCAACCACCGGTGGCCGACACTGAAATTACATTTAGGCTGAGTCTGCCACCGCTTGCTGACACTGACCTTTCACATAGGCCGCGAAAAACAGCTGGCTAACTGCGTATAACATAATATAGAACTATAAAATTTACACTCTTTTATGGAATTGCAGAAAATTTATTCAAAATTTACTTAATTATTGTGATTCTTGGTTTAATAAATTCAATTTAGTAGATTTTTTTCCACCGCTAATTTTAAACAATTCGTAGACTTATATAATTCACCATTTTTGTCAGATATGTCATGATAAACCATCTAAAAAAATAGCGAAATCCGTCTAATATTTGCAAATTTAGTCTGTAGTTATTTACCTTGACCAGATGGGCAAGTCATGTAAAATTAGCGTGGCGCTCAACGTGTTAAGAAACAAAAACATCCCTATTTATATAGAAAAAATCCCTCTTATTTATTCCTGATTTTAACTCCATAAAATGATCTGTACAGATTTCACGAATGCCGAAAATTTTATTCATACCTAGTCTACACCAAAGAAAAAAAAACTTAAATTTAACAATTACATTTGGAGCTTTATCCGATGTTTAATCTACCTCCCTTGGGTGGTTCATTTTGGTCAAGAGGAATAATATTTATTCTCATACCTTATCCTTCTCTATGAAGTCTTTTCCTGGCGAAGTAGTGTAAAGTTTTTCAAGATCGATTAGCTGAGTTTCGCAATTTTCCGGGTACCTAAAAAACTAAAAACGAAATATTCTAAGTATAAAATCAAAATTGCACAAAACGTAGAAAAATCCATTTATGAAATTTGATAGATAAGAAACAAAAAAAATTAAATAACTTTCTTTTACTTTTTCCAAATGTAGTCTAAAATATAAAGGTGAAGCAAAATAAAATATTGAATTTTTTATTTATAAGTAGTATGAAATATGCTTCTGGAACCCATTATATGTATTGGGCAACATTTGGCGCTATCTTATCACTAAAAATTTTATATTTTAAGACTTTTTTTCTGTTTTTACGCCTTTAAAAACCAATTGTCTATGTAAAAATAAAATAAAATTTACCTTAGATGGAAGATATTTTTAATTGCAATAAAACTTTTTTTTAAAAACAAGATAAGATATTTAATACAAAAAGTTTTTTTTAAAGCCTTGTGGCATTTAAATATCTTAATTTTTTACTCTTGAGGACTTTATTTTATGACCAAAATTTGAAAATAATCATTATGTATAAAAATAAATATCTGTCCGTGTGTCCCTTATAGGCTCCTATACCATCAGACCGAGAGAAATGAAATTTGGCACACGGATAGTTCGAAGCACGAGAAAGTCATTGTCGTAATTAGAACATTCTACTATGAACCGTTCACGCGGGATGTTGAAAAACGAAATGGAATTTTCTGATTGATTAAGCGTTATCCATTGTTTGAAATTAAACTTCATGTAAAAAAAAAAAATTTCAAGTATTTTAAAGATAACATCAGTGATATTTTCTAGTTTATAGCTCTTTTTGATCAAGAAGTGGAGTAATTAAATGACCACACTTTATCTCTTTGGGGGAAAAAAGTCGCTTTCCTAAATTGACGTTGTAAATTTTGTCGTCTAAAAGGTTAATATTTATTTCTTAAATACATTTAAAAATGTGTGCTTTCTAATTAGTATTTAAATTTAACAAACCATTATCAAAAACCGACAAATTTTAATTAAGGTCATTAACACTAGAGGGAGAATTAAAAGCTTAACTAATTTATTTGATGGGTGAAATTAAAAGAAGTTTCTAATAATCAAATAACAGCTGATCAACTAATAATCAAATTTCACCCAACAAATAAACTTGTTTTTAAGCATTTAATCGTCTTTTCATTAGGATTGACTTCGATAAGATTTCTTCATATTTTTGTAATATTTTTTTAAAGATATTAATAGGTCATTTCCAATTTTTTTTTTAAATTTTCTATTTGGGAATATTCATTAAAATATTTATTATGGGGGTGGATAAAGAACAATCTATAATAAATTTCGATTTTTAGATTTTAGATTTTTTTCTTCTTTTATTTAAATATTGATTTGCGACTCCTAATGTACATGCAATTTAGCCAAATTTTTGACACGAATTCTAGAAATATAGATTCGAGATAATCATTACAGAACACCTTAAGTTTTGTAACAAAATAATAAACGGGTAATAAAAAAATTAACTTACAATGTCATCACTATCCAGATAAGAAACAGGAATGGGTTGCCATTTGAATCCAGGCAGAAACTGCCATTCATCTGTGGGTGCATACAAGGAGGCTAACATACACAACAAGCTGTGCGTCGATCGATCCTCAGCAGAACTAAACGCATCGATCTTAAAATAAAACACAAGTAAATGAGATCTGAAAATGAGACCCAATAACATCTAAAATATTTTAAGAATAATGTGCTGATGGTATCGGGTGTTCCAAAATTGACTGATGGATTTTGAAAAATCTCTAAAAAGGAAAAGAACGGAACGCGATAAAAATGATTAATTTACAGCATTACACTTGGGAAATTAGGTTTTTATCTGAACCAAATAGCACATTTAGTTAAACTTCCTGGCAATAGATGGAGCTATAGAAACTTCTCAGGGTCTGTACACATCTGTGTTCCAAATACTACACAATAATAATAATACACAAGCGTTCCCTAACTGATTGCTTGGGGAAATACCAACTATTGTGGGGCTTTGAGGAGAATTCTAAGAGTCTGAGGCTGTCTGTTGCTATGGTAACAAGCGAGAGTACATTTCTGGTGAGGCTTACAATGGAGGAACGAGGCTGTCGATTGGTTTACTCACGCTGACCTATGCCAAGATCAAGACAAAGCTATTCACCCTACACCCCTATTCGGAGTGACTTTTTCTTGCAGCCATGGTACCCGCCACGACCAACACCACCGAGACTGATGTCTGGACACGAGACTGATGTCTGGAGGAGTTCATCTGAAAGCCGCACTATGGGAAGACATACATTCAATTTCTCTGCAGCTCTCGCATGCCTGCAACGCCATCTATTAAATTTTACTAAATGTGCAATTTCGTGGGATGAAATTTTTACGTTTCCCAAGCATAATGCCACAAACCATACATCTAACCGAGTGGCGTTCTTTTATTTTATTGGTTTTCTAAATCCATCAGTCATTTTTGAGTCTCCCAGTACATTAGAAATAAGTTTGAACTAACTTTTGGAGAATTAAGCTTATTAAAGAGACTATATATTGAGGAAATTTTCATTTCAAATTCTGTCTCCTCTGTTTTGGTTCTTTTTAAAATTTAAGGTTAAGCGAAAAGTAAGTTCAGGTTAACTTAGAGTAAACCGTGTATTTCAAAGGCTTATGAGCTGTTTTCAAAATATTAAAATTAAAACAAATTATTGCATTCTATTGCGTAAACTAGAGTAAGGCTGCTTTGAATTTGTTTGCATTTTAATATTTTAAGACATTTCCTCATCATTTAAAACTTAATGGTTCAACTCTAGGTTTACCTGTATTCACTTTTCTTTATTTTAAACTTTAAGTTATTTTTGTAGGTAAAGGAGAATTTACCATGAAGGAATTGCTCACACTATTTCTTCCTCTAAACACTGAAAACTAATAATCATAGCCTACCTTATCCAGAGTTCTACTGAATTATTATTATTATTACTAGGAGACCCATCCTCTGATTCGCTAACTTCCCGTAACTGCTTTCGTAGTTCCTTTCGGATCGCTTCGCAATTCGAGCTCTTTTTCACTTGTTCAGGACACTTATGTGCCTTAGTTTAGCTCTGCGCTCATGCTGCTATTCTTTTTTAAAAATGAAGTCTTAAAATTACGCAACTTATGCATTCTGCGTAACTTTTGATTGAGAAATATTTCAATGCTGCTTGGAAATTTCATTTGAAACAAATAATTCACAGAATTTCCTTACGAACGCAATTGCATACCTGCAAAGGACGTCATCGTGGGTATGGATCCTGATTGGCTATTGAAATGTTGCATTTGCTTAGGTTTGCAACTGATCTTTCCTATTTATTTCGAGTAAGCCTACTCTTTCAAATATGAATTCTCTTAAGTGATACATTCTGTATTCTTTAATGAAGAAAGATTTGGTTTATTTTTTAGAAATCCAGTCACGAAGCCGTGTTGAACATGAACATACTTATTATGCTACAAAGTTGCCAGATATACAAAACAAAACTAATCACGGTCACAATAAAATACGTAAACAAATAATGAGCCTAGCTTAAGTACAAAATGTAGACGAGAAATAATTATATTTTAACAAATTCTATATTCGATACAGTCTGGTGTTAAATTCAAGTTAATTAACATTCTAACTTATGCGGAGAAACTTAGCTCGACCTTTAGCCAGCAATATCAAGAATATAAACACGCCATCTTGTTTATGAACAAATAGCTGGTGCTGAGGTCATAGATCAGGTGGTTGTGTATCAGAGGTCCTCTTACCAGGTTGAGAGAATCCCGTTATAAATTTTTCTATGTTGAAATGCTTTTTTTTTCGAATGTAAATTTGTGAAATATCTATATATCAAAGTCAATGAAAATTTTTTAAATTAGTAAACAAAAGAAGCATAGTTTGACAATCTTTGTCGATAAAATGCATAGCTCTATCTTTCTGTTTCCTGCACTAATTATGAAGCATAATTAAAATTATACAAATGTATGCCATTAATAAAGTGCACTGTTTAAATTGTGATCCAAAGTCAAGACAAAAATTATGCTTTTTAAACAATAATAATTTGAATATATGAACTCACCTCAACTGGTGAAGAAGTAATGAAATTTTTGTAATAATCTCGAAGCACTTTACCCAGCTCATAATGCTGCAACTTACCCAACTATTTAAGAAAGAAAAATTCATGACAATTTATAGTATACGTTCAAAAATTATAGAAAATGGCATGGTGTTAAATAAATATTACAAATTACAGACAGAATCAATTGTATAATTTGTTGATTTATTGCATAAAATTTGTACTTCAGTTTTATAATTTTAACCATTGAATAACACAACTGGCAACGTGCTCGTCTTATTTGCTTGAGTTATATATATATATATANATATATTTTGCTGTTAATTTTATTAAAATTATTACGATCTTTTTGATGTATTTAAGGAACCATACATATATATATATATATATATAATTTTGTTTTCTTTTTTTTTCTTTTCGCCAAAAATTTTACTTTTTTTAATTCCGCTAAAAAATATCTCAATTGTCTAACGCAAAATAACCTCAGCATTAGGCGTATCGTGGGTTAGAATCCCTCGAATGTCAGATTAACAATGTTTTCGTCGTTTTCCTCTCCATTTAATGCAGAAATGGGTTAGTTTCATCAGAACGTCAACTGAGAAAGAGAATTAAACCCAGAAATTGATTTAGAAGTTCGCAAGTTTTCTGGATTGGATTCAAAATTACAAGGCTGTGAAGTGGAATATTGACAAATTTAAAAAGGATCAGCTGTTCCAAAACGGCTGTTAAAATAAAGTAAACTAAAATCAAATTTTGATGTTGTCAATTTATCTATACTGATCCATAAATAGGCGAGACTTCTTAGAATTTTTAATGTCTTAGAATTTTTAATCGCAACCGTAATTTTTAATGTGGTTCTAATTTGAACCATAGCATCGTACTTCTGACACGTGATTGCACATAAATAGAAACCTTCATTTTAGCACTTTGATTGAAGTTTCTGCCATAGCAAGGTACCTTAAACCGTACTTTGTACCTTGAACCGCAAAAAGGTTCAAGGTAGAGATAATATGATTCATTTTTACCCTTAGTTAAAGTTTCAGCTCTAATAAAGTACCTTGAATTGTACTTTGATAAATTTCAAAGTACAGATTATAGGGTACAACGCTGAATTGATTTTCTAAGATTGCATTTCAAGCAACTGAGCTAATATTAAAATCTGGAGAAAGTTAAAAGAATCCTGGTTTCGCCTTGACATATTATAATACGAAAAATCCGCTGTTTATTAAACAAAGGTTTTATTTCAATAAAATTTGTTAGAATTTTGTTTCCTTTTCGTTACTTTAATGTATGTTTTTCGTACAACTTTTAACCTTTATTAATATTTGTTTAAGTAGCAAAGGATTGATTTTTTTTCGATCATGACACTTGGATTTTGCTGTGATACTAAACGTAGTAATTCTGTCAGTTATTGTTTTGTAATAGTCTATAACTGCCATAGCTGAGTCAAGTTTGTTGTATAAATCAGAAACCCGATTTTCTCGATGGCAAAGGTTGACAAAACAATTGGTCTATATGGTCTCGCGACTATCTGAACAATTTGCAACAAAGAACAAAATGGAAAGTAGAGAAAACCAACATAAATTTAAGTGTGATGGTTTTAATAAAGGAGGATAATCTTCCTGTAAATCAGTGGAGCTTGGGACGAATTTTAAAGCTATTTCCTGGAACGGATGGAAAGGTCAGAGTAGCGGAGATTAAAACAAGTCAGAATTCTTAAACGTAGCATTAGTAAATTGTGATTTTGCCGTTGGACAATTAAAAAGGATGCATGGTAATTTTCTCATTATGTGTACCTACAGCTTTTATTCAATCGTTGTAAATTTTAGATTGGAATATGTTTATGTACCATGGTTATGCTAATTTGTGTAGTTTATTGAATACTAGCCGCCTGAGGCGGCCAGCTGTCCGCCATGCTAAAGATTTTCACAAATAAAGTTTTTTGAAACATAGCAGGAAATCTGAAGATTAGTGGACAATTAAAGTGTTCCTGTCCTGCAATTTTGTCTTAAATTCCTATTTTATATATTATATAGCTACAATGCTTAAGAAAAAAAAACTAAAATGCTAAATACATGAAAAGAACACGAAAACGAATTAATTTTTTATGGTATCAATTTCTATTTCTATATAATTTTTTATTGTATCAATTTCTATATCTATATCGCTACAAAAATTATCGTCTTCGCTTAAGAAAAAAAAAATAGAGCGTGTAAAGAAGAAGAAAAACTTATTATAACAATTATGAACAGCGACAAATATATCAAAGCGAAGCGTTCTATTTACGTATCGAATATGTTGCCACATCTTTAATACAAAAGTTAAACTTTTCTCCACTTTGATAAATGTAAACTAATGCGAACCTTACAATTAAATTATTAATTCCTTCGTATATTATTGGTTTAAGTTGTCGAAAATTAATATTTCAATTGTAAGGTTCGCATTAGCATACATTTATAAGAGTGGAGAAAAGTAT